TTTACTGTTACACTAGGTTTTCTCTCTCCCTGCTCAATACTTTATCATACCCATCTTTAAAACATTATGGGTTTCCCGCCTCCCCTACATCATTTTAGGCTATTCCACTCCTGACAACTTATGACTGAAGAAATACTTCCTAACAATCCCTTTGACTCATCTGGGTCTTCAACTTCCAATTGTGACTCTTGTTTCGGTGGTCGCATCTCTGGAACATCCTGTCTCTGTCCACCTTGTCTATTCACGCAGGGTGTGTGCGTGTGTGTGTGTGTGTGGGTGTGTGTGTGTGTGTGTGTGCTGTGGGTGTGTGTGTGTGTGTGTGCCCACGTGCGCACATGTTCTCACTGTAATTTTCCAGAATACAGCTGAAATACAGTTGATGTATTGCATGGATGGATTAATTTCTATGACTTCTCGATTGACTGTTGGATAAAATTTTAACCGTTCAGCTTTCGTGATATTCTTTTACTAATTATTGAGTTGTTATTTAATTAGTGTTTTAATTAAATAAATTGGATAGTTAAAGGTGTCTGGGATAGAATACTTGGCCTAGGGTGTGTGTGTGCTCACCTATATGTTGGTTGCAGGGGTCGATTCACATTTCTTTTGTGTTGAGAGAGAGAGAGAGAGAGAGAGAGGAGAGGAGAGAGATGGAGGAGAGGAGAGAATGAGGAGACGAGAGAGAGAGAGAGAGAAGAGCCAGAAGAGCCCTCGAGACTGAGAGAGAGAGATAGAGAGAGAGGAGAGAGAAAGAAGTGGAGAAAGAGAGAGCAGACACCGACAGACAGAGAGAGAGAGTGACGACGAGAGACAGAGAGAGAGAGGACAGAGATGAGACAGAGGAGACAGAGAGACAGAAATGGGGGGGAGAGTGTGTGTGTGCATTAAAACGCATGATATAATCATGTATTAACAGCATGATTAACGAGGCGCGTTTACAAACCAAGATGAACGGCGCTAGTAGTCAATGACAGTTCAATTACCTCAGTATCACTGATTGTTCCTCAGGACAACCACACACACCACAAACACCCCACTCACACACACACACACACACACACACTCTCGTTCAGGCCCCTGTACACCGTGTACGTTAGGCCCATATTGGTGTATGCGGCACAGTTTGGAACCCACACCTAGCAAGCAGTTAAAAGAAAACATAGAGAAAGTGCAAAGGTTTGCCAAACAAGCTAGTCCAGAGTTAAGAGGTATGTCCTACGAGGAGAGGTTTTGAGAAATCAACCTTGCGACACTGATGGACCAGGAGAGATAGGGGGGGAAATGATACGAATAACCAAAATATGAGAGAATTGACAAGGTGGACAGAGCAGGATGTTTCCAGAGATTGGAACAGCAAAAGGGGGTCACAGTTGGAGGTGAAGACTCAGATGAACCATAGGGATGTTAGAAAGTATTTCTTCATTCCAGGTTGTCGGGAAAGGGGAAAACAGTCTAGGGGTGGGCAGGATCTATACATAGGGGGCAGGATCTATAATAGTGGAGGCAGGATCTATACAAGCTTTAGAAGGGGTATGTTAAGCTCTGGAGCAGGAAGAGTGACTAGTAGCGCCAGTGAAGGGCGGGGAAGGACTGTGAATCGACCCATGCAACCACAGTTAGGTGAGTACATGCACACACCACACACACTAAAATGATAAATAAAAATATTTAAGGGGAAATTTCAAGGGTGAGAGAGTATAGGTGAAAAAAAAGGTACTGGAGGGCCCAAAAGGGGAAATAAAATACACAAGAGTACATGGAGTGTAGGAAGTTTATTTAAAACGATGTAGGGACTCCACACGCTTGAAGAAAGGTGGGGGTACGACCCCAGGCTAGGAGAGTGAATTGGTAGTAGTAAATTGAGAGGGGTGAGCCCGGAGCTAGATCGGGCGCTTAGCCCGGGTATGGAGCCCTAAGTCATTTTTTATCCCCCGGGGTCGTAATAACCCCCGGTGAAGGACTTTTGATCCATGGAAGAGGTCCTCCCAAATTTCCCTTTAATCAAAAGCTTTTTCGTTTCTAAATTCACTTTTTAAAATTTTTTTTTTCTTTTTTACGAAATTTCGGGGAAAACCGTTCTTTTGTGGTATTTGTTTGTATGTGTGGTGGTGTATATTTTTCAGTTCAATAATCACTGAATAACCAATAAACCCTCCGAATCAACCAACATAAAAAACTAAACCCTAAACCCGCTACCACAACTTACCCCCACTCAGCTGTCAGTATCAGTGGTGGGCTCTACACCGGAAGGGGGCCCCAAGTGGTCCCTTTCCCGCTGGCTCCTCCCGGCTCCATCTGGGAGGAGCTGAGTCCCGCTCTGCTTTCCCGGAGGAGACAAGGTCAAACTTTGTTTGGGGGTATGAAGAAAGGGAAAGTTTGTGATGTCGTATTTTTTTTAATATATGAATTAAAGTGTATTAATAGGTATATTTGTGTATTAATGTGGTATTAAGGTATATAATTTTTATATATATTATATTATAAAATTATATATATATAA